GACAGATGACAGGGATAGATACAAGAAGAGGAAGAAAAGGACAGCCATGTTTGTTTGTTTGTTATCTGAGAAAATTCTCTAGGGAAATGAAAATGAAGAGGAGAAAATTCTCTAGAATGCAGTAGAGGGGTGATGAACGAAATGTTAAATGTTAACGGAAATGTTAAGAGAAGGGCTGATTTGCCACTGCAGGGGAGTTGGGGGGCTGATTTGCGCGTGAAGTGGGTTGAGGGGGTGATTTGCCACCAGTTGTTGAGTTCAGGGGCTGATCTGCACCTTTTGCCATAAGATATCATGCCAACTTGATTTGATTATGCATGCATGTCTACTTCTACCAATCGAACGCCTTCTCTTTTTCCTTTTTTTTTTTTTTAAATATAGGAAATTTGGGGAGAAAGGATGAGAATTTTTAAGTAGTTGATGAGAGTTGTCTGAACCCTCTATCTTTAATTTCTAACTTAATTTGACTTAACATATATAGACTTTGTACATGTATACTTTTTACATACATTTCTATATTAATTTATTTAAAAATATAAGTTTATTACTTTTAATTATTTTTATATTTTTTTATTAATTTTAATTAATATCTTATATACTTTTGAAAATATTATAAGACAATAAAACATAGGGTTATAATATAATATAACACAACATTGATAAATGAAGTTATAATTTATTTAAACTTAATTTAATATGGTTGTGATTTTTAGTCTTTTATTTTGATTTTTATAAATTTTGCAACTTTGGACAAAAAATTATTAGTAAGATTATTGAGAAAAAAGAATAAAAAAAATTTTAATACTATTAAACAAGTTCAGATTTTTTAGTATTAGTGTTAAAATTTCTTTAAAACAAATTTTTAATTTTGATTTTTAACTATTACTAAATTTATAGAAACTAAATAAATTAGTCATTCATGGTGCCACCATTAATTTCCAACTCGATCTGTTTTTCTCCTAAACACTTTTATTCTTGTCCTTCTTTCATTTAAGGCATAATTAGCTTATATCCAACAATTTCATAAACGCAGGAACTCTCATGGACGCCATGGGACTGGTCACGGATATTGTGAAGGATGTTGTAGCTACAGTTAAGAAATATGTAAAGTACCAGATATGTCACAATGATTATGTCAACAAATTCAAAGAAATGCAAACAAAGCTGAAGCGCCGACGGGAAGACGTTGCGGCAGGACTGCGTACTCAGCTTATGCAGCCTGGGAAGATTGCAAAGCAGGAAGTTGAAGCTTGGTTAAAGGTAGCAGAACAAGAAACTACAGAAAATGTGCTTGAAGATATAATCTGCAAAGGGGGCTGTTTCACATATATTTGCTCCTCAAGAAAGCTTGAGAAAAGGACTCAATCACTGAATGAAGAAATATTTAACCAAGGAGAAAAATATACTAATGCTGGTGAGAGTTTGGTCGTAGATGATCACTCAATTGAGCATTATGAAACTGTATTTAAAGAAAAGCAAGAGCTGCTGAAGCTCCGACAGCAAGACATTAAGGCAAAATTGGAGACTTGGCTTCTGCAGCCGGGAAAGATGGCAAGCAATGAAGTTAACTACTGGATGGAGAAAGCAGGCCAACAGATTGACATAAAGGTTGAAGATCTGATCAGCCAAGGGGAATGTTCATCTCCATTCAACCTTAGGGAAAAAACTGAAGAATTGAAGCAAATTCTTGAGCAAGGAAAAGAATTCACTAATGCTGGTGAGAGTTTGACTATAGATGATCACTCAATCAAAGGAGTTCCACTACTCGTTGAAGAATGCAGTGGCAGGGATGATATACAAGAACAAATTCTGGGATGGTTGAAGGGAGACAAGGATACAAGAATTGCAGTTTGGGGAATGGGTGGTGTGGGCAAGACAACAATTATGAAGCAAGTCCACAACCAACTGTTGACAGAACCCAAATTTAACAAAGTTATTTGGGTAAAAGTGTCAAGAGACTTTGACATTATTGTCCAGCAAAAAAAGAAGTTTGATATTCTCAAGTTTCAGAAAAGGATTGCAAGTAGCTTGGAATTAAAACTGGAGCCAGAGGATCATGAGAATGAAACTAAGATTGCAGGATTGATTTCACAAAATTTGGGGCAGGGCAGCTTTGTGCTAATTTTGGATGATGTGTGGCAGCCTTTCTCTCTAGAAGATGTTGGAATTCCTAATCTAGTTGGAAATAATGGTTGCAAGTTAGTACTCACGACACGGTTACAAGATGTTGCTCGTGCAATGGAGTGTAAGGTGATACCTGTGAATCCTCTTCCACCTGAAGAAGCATTAGCATTATTCTTGAAGAAAGTTGGAAGTGATGTGTTGTTAGATGGCAAAATTAAAGGAGATATAAAGCCATTTTTGGAGCAAATTTTGCAGAAATGTGACGGAGTACCCCTTGCTATTGTGACAGTGGCAAAATCTATGACAAGGAAAATGCTTCCTCGTCATTGGAAGTCAGCACTTTCTGAATTTAGTAAATTTGAAAGCATTGTAGATTGTTTGAAATTTAGTTATGAATGTCTAGAACCACAATGCCAAGAGTGTTTCCTATATTGTGCATTGTATCCTGAAGATTATGAAATCCCAAAGGAAGAGTTAATTGAGTATTGGATTGAGGAGGAGCTTATATATAAAGAAGGGAAAACTAGGGAGGCAATGAATTGGAAGGGTCATGATATACTTGATAAGCTGGTTGACAACTGCCTGTTGGAGTTGATTAGAGGCAATGAATATTGTGTGAGTATGCATGATCTTCTCCGAGAAATGGCACTAGAAATCAATCCTCAATTCTTGGTGAAAGCTGGCATGGCCTTGGAAAAGCTACCAGAGGAGCATGAATGGATTGAAGATCTTTTAAAGGTTTCTTTAATGAGGAATTACATAACAGAAATTCCTTCAAGCATGCCGCCTCCGAAGTGTCCCATGCTTACAACCTTGCTGTTGTCCTATAACAAGATTTCAACAATTCCAGAAGCTTTTTTTGAGCATATGGTTAGGCTCAAGATTCTTGATCTTTCCAATAATTGTGAGCTAAGTAGGCTGCCAACTTCTATTTCCAAATTGGAGAAGCTTACTACATTATTGCTATTGAATTGCAAGTCCTTAAGAGAGGTACCGTCTTTATCCAAACTTGTAGGCTTAAAAAAGTTGGACCTTTCAAGGACATTAATTGAAGAACTACCCCAAGGCCTCAACATGTTAACAAATCTAAAATATCTTGGTCTTGGTGGAAGATTATCTGAAGCACTTGATAAACCGCTACAAAATCTCTCCAAACTTCAGCATTTACTAGTACATGCCAATCCCCGTGCCAAAACAGAATTTAAATGGGAGACGATTGGAATTTGGGGGAAACTTCAAAACCTTGAGAAGCTGGATCTTGGTTATTTGGATAACTTGAATATGGTGTTTGGGGAAGTAGGAGCAATTGCTGAGTTAGCACCGCTACCAACTAGCACATTTTCCTCTCTTCAATATATTCGTGTTTGCGGATGTGATAAAATAAAGAAGTTATTTTCGGCAAGGTGGTTGGGATATCTCCAGAAACTACAGACTATTGTGGTTTTTTATTGTAAGCAATTGGAGGAGATAATAGGGTTTGAATCTGAAGAAGGAGAAAAAGTCACTTTACCCAACTTAGAAAGGTTGGAATTGACCGTTTTGCCCCAGTTGAAGAGAATCTATAGCGATTTTTTGATTTGTGATTCCATCAAGAAGATTGAAATTTGGGATTGCAAAAATATAGAGAGTGTTTTTTGGTCAGGGTTCAACCCACTTCCAAATCTTGAATATCTACACCTTGACTATTTAAAGAATCTGAAATGCGTGTTTGATGAAGAAGGTCTTGGTTTATCGCCACTTGTACCTCCCACAAGCTTTTTCTCTCTTAAAGAAATTAGGGTTGCTGGGTGTGGTCAATTAAAGAAGGTATTCTCATCTGGATGGCTGCTCCGCTACTTCCAATCTCTACAAACTATTGAGGTTTCATATTGTGATGAAATGAAGGAGCTAATATCATCATCGGCACATGAAGAAGAAAAAGTCACTCTACCCAAGTTACAAAGCTTGCAATTGATCGAATTGCCTGCGTTGAAGAGCATCTGCAATCGCTCCAGTGTGTTGATTTGTGATTCCATCCAGAGTTTGAGGATTTCCGACTGTGAGAAGCTAAAGAGGATTCCTCTGAACTTTCCCCAATCATCTCATCTTCTTTCCCTCAAAGAAATTGTGGTATTCCCAAAAGAATGGTGGGAATCATTGGAATGGGACCATCCCAATGCAAAAGACATCCTTTTACCCTTCTGTAAATTTTGGCAGACGTTGTAATTACTGCAAATGTAAGCCTTTTAATCTTCAATTTTCCATTTTTGATTCAACTCAATAGGAGTTTTCATCTTTATGCTTCCTTTTTCCATTCTTTTTATCTTAATTAATATCTCTCTCTCTCTCATTGGCAGCACAATTGGAATTCGGCTCTGTAACCACAAGAAAGTTGAAGGAAATAACATTTGCATTTGTTGTTGTTGCTGTTGGGTTTTCAATTTAATACAAATTTACTAGTATTTGTTTTTCTTTTTTTGTGTTTGTTTTTTGTGTTTAAATGTGTCAAATTCTATGTGGAAAACTAGAAATGTTTGTTTCTTTGTTATTTGTGTAATGTTGTCTTTGAAACTGTGTGCAAAAAAGACTTGAAACTGTATCTGCTTTTCTTGTGTAATATGTATTTAAGTTGATTGCATTCGCATATCTCTTCTCAAATTTAATTCAGCAACATTATCATCATCAGCAACAACCAAGACAGAGACTTACTTTCATCAACTATATCCGCATGCCCCATTACTTTCATCTTCTCAGAATCCCCAAAGATGGAATAGCATTCAAGTCAGAGTACACTCCTCTTCTTTTGTTTTCTTTATCTACCTATTTTTTGATTGCATCGTCTGAATATGTCTCATTAGCTAAAGTAAATTATTGGTTAAACACTCTTATTTCAAAAGAGAGTTTCTTAATGCTTATCCTTGGATGTTAGTGGGTTAACATTCATATGTGGGCAGGCCAATTTTGGTGCTATGCTAGAAAAGCATGCTGGTGATGAGGAGCTACTGGATCACTACTTAACACAAAGCATATGTTGTTCTAATACATCATATTTGACACCCAATCCCATGTTGCAAACTTCACTCTTAAGAGCAGAGCAGATTTTCCTGTGACACATCAAATGATCAATTGTTATCTGGGAAAAAACAGTTCTTATGATGTGTTTCCTTTTAATCAAGCATATTGGTGAAGGCACTATATGTACCAGGGACATGGTAAGACCTATCTGCTTTGAAATAATCAATATTCACTATTTGAAGGTGTTGGTATCAGCAGAAGCTCCAATTTTTCTGTGGAGAGCTCCAAAATCGGATGTCAAGTTCACTATAATACTACTTTGAAGGAAAAGAAACTGTCCTTGTCCCTCTTGAATGACCATAGGAAGGTATGAAACTTATAATACTATTTTGCAGAGGAAGACAGCGACACACTAACCACCATCACACCAAATTAGTTATGGTTGCATTTCATTACATTGGTGATCTGAACAGGAAAGTGAAAGGGTTACGTCCAGGCAGTCTAGGCTTAAAACTTGCCTTTGCATGTGGAGGATTATTAATAGCAAGATAGTCTTAATCACATTAGAATAATAAGGACAGGTTGGATTCTAAACCTAATTCAGATTTGATTTCATGTTGGATTATTGGTTATGTGAATTATACTTTTACTTGGAGATATGTTTGTGAAGTTGTGCTAATAGTTCTGTTATGGTGATGCTATTGTAGTTTACCTGTGGTATTGATATGGTGTCTGATGGAATGCAATGAGAAACATGTACCAATCTATCTGATTTATGTGAGATCTCAAAAGCCACTCAGTTGTGGGTATGTTTATGCCTTTTCCATGTTAATGTCTATGGTTGTCCGATGCTAGTTAGCGTTTTTGTGCTAGGATAGTCATCCAGCTATTTAAAATAGCTTTTGTTGAATCCAGCTATTTAAACCTGGTCAATTTTGAATGATTTGACCATTTTTTAAAAACGTTTTGTTAGATTTTTTTAGAGGTTATTCAAATGTTTTTCTAAATTGATAGGCCTGGTCAACCTGTTGACGCTTGCAGGAAGTTTAATATGAAGATTCTACGTCAAAGAAGATAGAGAAAAAAAGGTTTTTTCCTTCTCTATTATTTTATGTATCATCTCTTCTACTCTTTAACATTGGAATAAAGAGAATACAAAATATAAGAAAAAGAAAACTTTACCTTCTGAATTTAGATGGAATTACTTCCTTCTTCCAACTCTGTTTTGATAACTGACCTAATAGCACGCAAAGGGAACTGTCTTGTGTAAAATAATAACTAGTAACTTAACAGGCACTCCACATTGCAGTGAATCCCAGCCCAAATAGCTTGAAGAAGAAATTGGTGGAGGCATGGAGCACTGCTTTCTATATAGAAAAATGAAGACTCTAGAGATTTCTTGGCCTCTCTGTCTATGTCTTTCCACCATTCAATTCCTATTCTGATTTTCTCAGCATGCAAACAAAGCTCAGATCCAATTAGGCAATTACAATTCATCAGGTATCCAATACGTTAACATATTTCCTGGTCTTCCATATATTGCATAGGTCAATGACGCATTTATGATTTCTGTTATCTAAACCAATTTGATTCGAGTTCTTCTTCATACCTTTAACTCTCTCTGTAAATTTACTGACAGATGCATGAACATGATTGTATGCCTCAAATAAGATATTGTTTGAAGTATACCCCCTTGTAGTTTCACTTATTTAAAAATTTAATTTTGGAACTGTGAATCATGCATTACTTGTGTGCTGCCTGCTGCTTACCTTAGGGTCTTTTGGCAAAACTCATGTTGCTACAGTTGCATGCGTTTTGAGACAATTGCAGAGGGAACCTTTAGAACTTTCTTTGTCCTTTTTAAGTTTTTGCTGATTGGTATGGTTTTACCATTCATTATCAATCCTTGCTACTCTACCTCTAATTTGCTCTTGAAGATGTCTACTATGGACATGAAATGATTCTCAGATTTCTAAAGGTGACTGCTTTTTTGGTTACATTTAAATATTTTTGGTCAGTGACTTGCTAATAGTGCTTAAAGACTGTTATCCTGATGCGGTATTTTAATTTTTTGTGGTATATAATGCGAAACTTAAAAGCTTTCTTTGTCCTCATTCTTAATTGTTCTGGTTTTGCCATTCATTTTCAGTACTTGCATCGCTGCCTCTTTTGTAGACACATAGTTTCGATAGTCTCCATGTGTGCCCTCAAAGATGTCTGCTTTGGCCATGAACATATTGACTCTATTTCTGAAGTTGACTGCTTGGTTACATCTGAAGACTCTTGCTGTTTTTATTTTATCAATGCTTTTTTTTTTTTTTTTTCAAGTTTGGGTTGAAATGTAAGAATTTACTAATGGTGTTTCCAGGCTGTTAATTTGTTCTTATGCAATTGTCCTTGCAGCATTGAGATAGTATATGATGTTACACAGTGGGAAACATTTGCAAATCTATCAATATACTGATTAGAAACAAAAAGGATCCTCTTGATTGACTTCCCTGGAGTTGTTTCCCAGAATGGCGACTCTAAAACAGATACTGTACTAGTAGAACTGGTATGAACGTTTAGTAAGACTGGAGATGTTTCATTAGGTTTTGCATGTATATTCGCTATTTTGTTATGTCAGGTGTATTTGAATGTCGACTATTTTTCACTCTTCCAGGTATGTGTCACAAATATGGAGGATGCTTCTGAACATTTTGAAGGAGTTCTGAAGCATGTAAAGAAAGAACAATGGGAAAGAGCAAACAAGGACTGTTCAATTGGGTGTACCCAGATTCCTAGTTGCAGAAGTTGCACCAGTGGTTCTATTCTTGGATTTCTCGTTGCAGCTGGAAAATATATAATAGATCCAAATCAAGCTCCAAGAAAGTAAGTAAAACCAATTGCTCTTCTTCACGATTCTAAAGTTCAGATTATTACTCAATGATGATGTGCAAGATGGAGTGGTTGGGCAGCCTGGTTTGAATTTGAAAACAAGGAACGAACCTGAAGCCTCATTAACGGAAATGTCCTTTTCTGCTTTTGCCATTTCGACGTTATAGATTGTTGGATACCTACACCAAAGATGAGAACTTCTTTGTTTCTTGACCACGAGTGGGAGTCATATGCTAGTCAATTGCTGCTAAATAGTACCACTTTCTCTGCAACTGGTAAGAAATGTAACGTGCATCTTTTTGCACTACTGTCTTCAACCAGAGATGAGTTAAAAATGAAAAATCAGGAACTTAAATTTGTCTTATTTTCCAATTTATCACTATTTATTAAATTATTCTTTCGTTGCCTCCCTTTTTTATAATTTATTATCAAATATTCTAGTAACAACTCCATTTAAATTACCTCTCAGAATTACCTTTTTTTTTTTTTCTATTCCTCGGGTACTCTTGTTTACTAGAAGGGATATCATTGCTTACATCTGGCAACGACCCAATCCACCCACATTTCGGTCCCTTTTTATTACTAGATAATTTTTCCTTCAGCCCACCTATCAAAAATTTGCACCAACCAAACACGATTAATGAACGAACCAGCCCAACACCGTGTAGAGGCCCACCAGAAATTTCCACATCCAGTCCATTCGTCCCATTATCTGAAAGTGCACTTTGGTTGACGTGTACGTATAATTTAAGGAAAATATGAAGTGTTCTTCTAACATGATTAAAGATGACTATACAAATTATATTTTTGGGTATGTAGTTATTTTGATCATACAAATGACATGATCAAAGATCATCATACAAACTTAGAGTAGTACACATCAATCAAATTAAATTAGTCTTAATTTAGAGGTGGGATCCCTAATTTGACTAATACTAGCATTTGGATCCCAAAAACAGAAGGCAATTTTTTTTATTTTTTTATTTTTGTTTTTGGAAGAAAAGAAACAAGAAGGCTAAAGCAATAAGATAAAGTTGAACTCCAACAAGCGGCCCGATGGCCACGCACCTCATTGAGACAGGTGGGCTGTTCATCAGGTCTGGAGATCGAATTCTCAGTTGTTAACATCTAATAATACTAACTTACTAATCATTATCTTTATCAAAAAAAAAAAAAAAAACAAAGTTGAATTATTGGCAGGGGCAATAATTCAGTGAGACCAATTACAGGCCCAGTTACTGCTATACAGGAAAATGTTAAAGTTACATAGAAGTTGAAATTTCCTCGTTAATGGTAACAAAAATATAATATTATATAATTTAAAATGTCTTAAATTGTATAATTAAATTATTAAATAGTGCACATGCATCTTCTTTTAAAGAAACTAAATTTTACTAAAATTAAAAAAAAAAACTAGTTTCTTTTCATGTAAAATTTACAGGAATAGTACTTATTTAGCTTATTT